CAATCTGTCACGATACGCTACAACAGAATGTTGATTTATGACGATCGATTCGTCAAAGCAAGAAGTTATCCTTGCGGTCTTTAGAAGAATTTCTATAGTAAATATCTTTATGAAGAATATTGAAAATTCAACATCTAAGTATCAGAGATCGTCAGCGCTTAATAGTGCTTGAATTTGGAACAAGTTACAGCGCTTATAAGCGATTGAGAACGTAAGTGCTTGTAAGAGCTTGAGATTGGAAGAAATTACAGCGCTTATAAGCGACTGAAGCGATAAGTGCTTAAAAGTGCTTGGTTTTTTTGAATTTCAGCTCTTTTAAGCAGCTTAATGAATTTCAAGTGCTTGGAAGCGCTTAAAAATTAGAACTCAAGCACTTTTCAGCTGCTTAAAGCGGTTTAAGCTAACTTAAGCTGCTTAAAAATAGCTTACAATGGTAAAAATTTTCACATGGGTCAAATCAAGTCGATCATGAAATGGACGATGGGGTAGCTAATTCAAATGAGGTCGATCATGCAATGGAACTAGGAGCAGCTGATTCAAATCAAGTTGATCATGGAATGGAACTTTGAGTGCCTGTTTGCAGCAGTGTCCGAATTCCATGAATTCTGAACTCATGAGGAATCCAGGAAATCCAAAAATCTATTAAAATTGATTATTTATACAGTCAAATAAAATGAAAGAATCCAAGGAAGTCAAGGAAGTCAAGGAATTAAGGGAATCCAAGAAAGTCAAGGAATCCAAGGAATCCAAGGAAGTCAAGGAATCCAGGGAATCCACGGAACTCAAGGAATCCAAGAAATTCAAGGGATCCAAGGAATCCAAGAAAGTCAAGGAATTCAAGGAATCCAAGGAATCTAGGGAAGTCAAGGAAGCCAAGAAATCCAGGGAATCCAGGGAATCCAAGGAAGTCAAGGAAGTCAGGGAATCCAGGGAATCCAAGGAAGTCAAGGAAGTCAAGGAAGTCAAAGAATTCAGGGAATCCAAGGAAGTCAAAGAAGTCAAGGAATCCAGAGTATCCACGAACCTCAAGGAATTCAAGGAAACCAAGAAAGTCAAGGAATTCAGGGAATCCAAGGAAGTCAACGAATCCAGGGAATCCAGGGAATCCTCAGAACTCAAGGAATCCACGGAGCCCGAGGAATTCCACTGGATGAGGAAAATGAATTACAAAGTAATTTAAAAAGCTTGAATTACAAAAAAATTCAAAGTAATTCATAGTAGACCCTAGGAGACCCTAGTAGGGTCTGTATGGTCTACTGCGTTTGTAGGGTCTAATAGAGTGTGTAGGGTCTATTAGAGTCTGCCTTGATGGCGAGGGCGAAAGACACAGACGGGAGCGCCTACCAAACTGAGGGTGACGATGTTAGATTGTGAGGGTGAGGGCTCAGCGCAGGGGCAAGGCCTCGGACTATGGTTGAGGGCGAAACACTCACGCAGCGATTTTACTTATATTTTGAATTACTTTGTAATTCAATTACTTTATGGTCTCTGAGTTCCTTGACTTTAATTCCTTGGATTCCTTGAATTTTGTGAATTCCATCAGGTGCTTGTGTTCCCTATAAATGTTCATTCCTTAGTACCCGCCTGTTTTATTTAATTTTTGAATTCAGGATCCCTTATGAATTCGTAATTCACGGAATCTGGACACCTCTCTTGAATTCCTTGGATTCCTTGACTTTCTTGGATTCCTTCGATTCCGTGGATTCCTTGGCTTCCTTGACTTCCCTGGATTCCTTGGCTTCCTTGACTTCCCTGGATTCCTTGGCTTCCTTGAGTTCCCTGGATTGCTTGGATTCCTTGACTTTCTTGGATTCGTTGGATTCCTTGATTTCCCTGTGTTCCCTGGATTCCTTGACATGCTTGAATTCCTTGGGTTCCTTGACATCCTTGAATTTCTTGGATTCCCTGGATTTCCTGACTTCCTTGGATTCCTTGGATTCCTTGAATTCCTTGAATTCTTTCATTTTCTTTAACTGTATAAGTAATCAATTTTAATAGATTTTTGGATTCCTTGGATTCCTCATGAGTTCAGAATTCATGAAATTCAGACATGTCTCTTTCATTCTCAGTCAGTGGATGAATGTTGTTTGAAGAAATTGTTGTTTGGCGGACTGAGTCATTGTTAACGATGAGGCGGTCAATTAAGAAAGTGATATATATATATAGTGAACGCTGGATACTTTTTTCATTATATTCATCTTTTTCAATATTCTAATCAACTCAATTGCAATACGTCACTTTTTGTTCTATTTCTATTTTTTTTTCTTACGTTTGGCTACTTCTTTTTCGGTTTCTTTTTTTTTCTTTTTGTGTTTCTTTGTTCAATTTTTTATGGCGTCTTCGTTTCCTTCTCGTCCTGTTTACGATCAAACATCGAATGAGTTTACAGCAGTGGGTCTGCATTTCTTACGTTCTTATTTTGCTCGTAATCCTCGTCCAAATGACAATGAATTTAAGGAACTTGAAAAGCAATTTGGCTGTGAAATTCGAAAATTACGAGTAAATGAAGCTTTTTGTTTGTGTTTGTGGTTGAATGGTTTTATATTTTAGGATAGTTTCATATGCATGCGACGACATGACAAGCTGAAGCAAGAAAAAAGGGCCAATTTGAATGATACAACAACTACCGCACATGCTTGGTCTTTAGAATCATTACCACCGGAAAGTCCTGAATTATCAACACCTATTGAATTTCTCAACACAATATCAAGAGATCAAGCCGGTGATTTTTTCAAGAAAATTAAAACCAAGGGTGGCTACAAATTACTCATGAATCCCAAGCATGTGGATGTTGAAATTCCTGTAGAAGAAATTGACTTATTGTCCAGTGTAACACCCGAAGACGGTAATTGATTTTGTGATTGTTTAATTTATTAATTTTTGTGAAACACGATCTGAAAGGAGTGTTGAAGTGTATAGGGAAGAAATTTTGCACC